TGAATTTAAATTGGTTTCTCTCGAACTGCTTGAAGCTTCACTTTGTGTACATGTACCCGATCTCTCCATGCGTTCTGAAATATGCGTTATTCACGAATGGATCGAGTGGGGAATTCAGGTTGTTACGGATCTATGATCCTCGGCATTCAGATATTTGAGTGATAGTCTTTAAGCAACTCTGTGTCTACTCATTTTTTAATGAACCATACAAAAACACCTTGTCTTAGGAGTCAAACCTCCACCTTCCGGCGTTGAGAATTCGAAGAGGTTGGAGAGGTGTGAGGATTAAGCGAAGTAAAGCCGATCCGTCAAGTCAAACTCTATTACCACGTCATAGCTTCGAGCTCGAGAGCTGTACCGTACCGTGTGAGTAAGATGCGACATGCCTCCCGATGCTGCGCAGAGACTCAACAGTAATTCCAACTCGAGTTATGCATATGGCAGCATAATCACATATTCCACCCTCCTCCCTTAATTTGAGTCGAGTCTTTTATCTCGTGAATTCTCGGTGACGATTCGAGATAACAATAAATAGTGCAGGGGGTGGCTAATTATCAATCAACTCTGCCGCATTGGGAGCAAGTCCCTGTTCCTGCTCCCTCGGCACATCTCGATCTGCACCCGAACCTCGAACAGCCAGCCGGACTCGACTCGAACACACAACACTCGACCTCTGTATGTTCCCCTCCCCCACCCTCCCCTCCCTCCCCTCCTCCAATCCCACCAAAAGTAAACATGTCGACTCCACGACGAGGCGGCGGCAACAGCAGCACCAGCAACACAGGAGTCGGCAAGGCCTGTCGATTCTGCTCGCGCCACTTTGCGAAAACTGAGCACCTGATTCGTCACGAGCGATGCCATACCAAGGAGCGTCCGTTCCAGTGCAGTATCTGTGGCAAGAACTATAGTCGCAAGTAAGTTCGAACTTTCATCTCTTTCTCGGTGATTGGGATGGATGCGAGGAGGGGAAAAGGGGTAGATAAACAAAACAGACGAGTGGATACAAGATGCTTAGTGGCTGTTTCCATGTTTGATGGGGCGGAGGAGGAGGGGACCGCACTGCACTGCACGCACAAATACATACCATACCTGCCCCGCATCACAGCACATCCCCACCATTGTCACGGGGCAGAGCATGCCATGGTGGGACGGAGGGGCAGGGAAGGGAAGGCATGATGAGTGCTGATGATGTTGACGATGTTGAAAGAAGGGATGGAGTGGAGACGAAAGGGGTGGCGCCGTGTGGAGTTGATATATTGGGCGGCTGGGATGGATGAATATCTGTTGTTAGAGCAGGCAGAGGGCTGACATCTCTCCTCACCTACAGTGATACCTTGATCCGACATCGAAGAACCCATGGGAATAACACAACCGTCGTCCCTCCCGATGTTTTCAGCAACAATGATGCGGCAACGACAGCTGATGGAACGGTCAACCCCCCAGCTACGCCCGTGTCAAGCCGCATGTCCTCTTCTCATCAGCCGATGTCTTCCATATCATCCTCTATCACGGCCTCGGACTACACAGGTCAAGACTTCGAGACTAGTCCTGTTGACTTCCATCCTATGGGGAACGAGATGTACGGTCATGACATATACGCTCAACCCGAACTCGGGTCAGGCCCATATCAACACATGAATGGTGGAACTACGGCCATGCCTCAGATAGACCCAAGTCTGACTGGAGGCCGAGAGAACCTAGGTGCTGATACCAATATGGAATTCTCTGCCTCATACCTTGACCCAGCTCTACAGCAATATCCTCCACCATCTGAAGCCAACGGCTATCAAATGCCCTACACAGCACCCGAGATCGACCAGTTCCAGTCTTGGTATCTGACCAACGACTTTGATCTCGTGGCCTTCAACAAATCTTTCAAGACTCCTACGGCTGCGGAGTTCCTTGGTATCAGTGGAGCCCTTTCTGATCATCAGTGGAAGAATCATGATATGCCTAGTCCTGATACAGGTGGGAATCTTTCACTGCATATGGAATGGGAGCAAGATCTCGTGCCGTCTGTTGAATTCATGGCAAGTCCTAACTCCTCTCACGGCACTGAAGACAAAAGACTAACAGAAGATACAGAACATCACCATCCAGTTCTTCTTCACCAGATTCAACCCCATCTTCCCCATCTTCCATGGCCCGACTTTCCGGTCCGCTGATCACAGCTCCCTGCTCCTGCTTTCGATCTGCTCGATCGGTAGTTTGTTGATCAATTCCGATCAGGCATGCCTGAGAGGCGCTAAAATGTTCGAGACCGTTCATAAGACGATTTCGGAATCTGTAAGAATCTTGAGAGTATTTCTTTCAGAAGACGGTCGCTAATGACAATTTTCAAGTGGGCTACTGCTGAGTCAAAGCCTCTGAAAGAACGCAATGCGTTCATTCAAGCTGCACTAATCAGCCAATTTTTTGCTTATCTGTGTGGTGTATGTGCCTACCATTCGAATTTTTGGTACAGAGACTAACCTTCAGTAGAGCCCAAAGTATCTCGCTTTGGTCAAGCCATTCCATGTAAACTTGACTGATGTAAAATGATATCCCTAATTGTATGCTTACTTGACTAATTGAGAGTAGCTTGCAAGACGATGTGGCGTGCTTGACATTGTTCGGACCCTTCCGGATGTAAGTGGTAAGCCTCAAGAAGAGCTCGATGAGGCTTGGAACTCGTGGGCACGAGATGAGGAAATCTCGAGGTATTGCTTGTGATCATTTTGTTCATCTGTTGTATACTGACTTCAGTAGAACCGCATTGGGTCTGTACGTTCATGATGCACAATTCGCCAGTACTTTCAACAATGCCCCCATTCTGCAACACAATGCTCTCCGCCTCTTCGTAGCAGCAACAGACGAGCTCTTTGGTGCAGCCACTCCAACACGCTGGGCACATCTTCTTCGTCTCTCGCCAGACCCTAGCAAGCTGAGCACACACCTGCATGTCAATCAACCTGAACATGTAGACACGGCACCTCTCTCCAAGGAACTCTCTTGTCGCGAAAGCCGTTTCTCCTGCTACGTAATTCTCCACAGCATCGGTGCCTCCGTCCAAGCCAGTCGAATCGCCGGCACGCTCACACCTAAGCAAAAGCACAGCTTCGAGGAAGCCCTGATCTGTTGGTACCACGCCTACGAGCAGACCCGCACAACGCAAGACCCAGATCCACTATGCCTCATGGTTCTCTATCACGAGATCTTCATGACGCTGCTAGTCGACTTCTCTCAACTCGAGAGTGCAATCGGTGGTCAAGCGAAAGGCGCAGATGCCATCACCTACGCTCGCAACTGGTCCACTAGCATTGAAGCCAAGCGCTGCATCATCCATGCCTCACTCATCCACCGCCAATGCGAAGGTATCCCGTATCACAGCGAGCCTGCACTGCACGTCCCCCGCTCCATGTTCCTCGCTGCCAGAGCCTGGTACTGCTACATCCAATTCGACCCGTCCGTCACGCCCGCCCCTGCCTCTCCTCCCATAACCCAAGGACAGCAACAGCAGCAGCAGCAACAGTTCACTTATGACGAATCATTCAACATCCCCGAGGTGAAGATGTTCAACATCGATCCCATGCAGTACCTGCCTGCCGTCAATGGGTTCGGAACAGGCAAGCCGCAGTTGACGGAGGCGGCTACGTTGTGCAGGTTGGCGGATCTGCTGGAGCAGAGCGGGCGATGGGGGATCTCGAGGCGCTTTGCGAGGATTCTGAGGCTTTTGATTTTTGGTGGTGCGGGGAATGCAGACGGGGTTGATGGGCAGAGTGAGGTTGTTGCTTGAGTTTGATATCAGGGGTAGCAGAGGTGATGGAATGGTAAAGGACGGTAAGGTAAGGTAAGGTAAGGTTTTGCGGAGGATGATATTGCAGCAGGGAACTCGATGGCCAGTGATGTGGTTGATGGGTGGGTGTTGAATTGCTTGGGCTAAACTGACCTGGGCTGGAGGTGTTTTTTCAGTAGGTGCTTTTCAATGATAGTACCTTCGCTGAATGGATTGATTGCATGAATATCAAGAAAAATAAAAGACAGGACAATACAATAAGATAGAATATTTGCGTATTTTTAAGCTGATCTGCTCCTGGATGGACGACTTCAGAATTTGCTAAAATACTTTGTAACAAGGAAGAAGTGGATGAATGATGTGTAATGAGAGGAAATGGATTGTGTTTTTGACTATCTTGGCAAGTGAGCGGGCGTCCGAAGCATGCAAGCGAGCGGAGTTGCTATACTTTTTTTTTTTTTTGGAGAATCGTTTCAATCAGATTCAAATAAAATGTCTGAAGCGAGAATGAGGACTTTTGATTTCAGTTCTCGAGCTTAGTTATTTTGATGATTTGGATTTGGTGGGGTGATTGGGTCTAGGAGAATTTGTTTGGTTCGATTTTTTGTTTTTGCATGCACTGTATGTATGGGATTTTTACTTGTATTGTTAGTTTGTTGGGATTTTTGTTTTGCGAAGGTGAGGATGGGGAGGAGAAACTGGGTTGGTAGGGGGAAATTAAGGAATAGGGGAATATCGCTGGTTGGAGAATTTGAATGGGAACTATGATGGAGTTTGACTTCTCTTTTTTGGGGAGGGGGGGTTGGTATCTGAATTAGGAGTTGTGTGTATAAGAGGGATAGTAGTGGTACTTGTACTTGTACATAAGTCCGGAAAGCCAGCCGTCGGAGCGATAGGCACCCCTTACTTATTGTCTCTATGCTACGACGCGAATGATTTTCTTGAGACTCCAGGCGAGGTTATTCTGGCCTTGCCTGATAGGCTAATTGTCAGTTTGTGTTAGCTGAAAGCCCGCTTACGGCGGGGTAACGAAGGAAACTGCAAAAGTAAGAACTAGACAGATAACCACGGAAGACCAAAACGATATCCGGCCATTCTTTTTGTAAGGAACGACAAGGACGAGTAGACAGACAGATAGATGGATGTATGGCCACGATACACCAAAAATAAATGGGGTATTTCTTTCAAAAGATCGTCCAGCTCGGTACTGCTGGAAATTACGTCAAGTCCCGAAGGTGGTTCGAACACCTGACCTGAAGATATCTTGCGATTACTGCAATCTTCCGCTCTACCACTGAGCTATCGAGACCAGTTGATGTACGAAAAATGCTTATTTGATTACATATTACAGTTTGCGTTTGGAACACTTTGCGGCGTCCAATTGGCGAAGCGAGTGGCGGGCTTGTGGGCTTGTACTCCACATCGCCCGGTCTTGGACTAGGGTCAAGCTTGAGGAATGATTAGGTAAGTCTCTACCCCTCCAAGTCGAACATTTGTTTGTGCTCGAGGGCCAGCTTCTGTGTGCTTCATAAACACTTTTGTCAGAAGATGCTCCTTGACTGTAGCATAGTCGGGATAATATTAAATAAGAGTGCCCTACAATTACTCCTGTAATTCAAGAAATGACAATCATCAAGTCCCCCAAAGGCTTTGAGAGAACCTGGTTCGGGCTAGAATTAGTTGTCATTTTTATTACAGTAGTATTACAGTCCGACAACCCATCGCCTATAGATTACGACATCTTCCAAGTTGCAATTACTGAATGCAAAGATTCGGCCAATCATTAATTATTTCTGGAGTATCTAGATCTTTTCAGAACTTTACAACATTCCTCCTCGGGTGAAAGTAAATAAGTTCCTCCCGTCCTCACCCGTCATCACCCATCCACTTCTTCCAATGGGCTCCTTCGAGGAACTACACAATTGTTGAAGAGTACCATCATCCGCATGATTCGCAAGAAACCGATGCCCATTTCCTTTCAATCGTCCAACGATATGACCCAATTGCGGGGTTCCATCCTTCTCGAATACGACAGTGTATGTCTACCCAAGTCAGCACAGCACTTGACCAGAATCGAATTCCCTACCTCAATTATAGCTTCTCCTTCAGCTGTATCATCAACATCAGGTACTGGATCATCTTCGAGAAGTTCGGGAAGCGGATTGCGATCGGGATATGGTGTGAGTCGCGGCAGTGACGAAAGACACACGACATATTGATAAGTCACCAGGCCGCCATTTGCAAGAACAAGCCCTTTCTTCACTTCTCCTTTCCTTAATTCTCGAACCATTTCTGTAAGTGCCTGACGAGATCGTCATCAACTGAAGTCAGTGTCTATGCAGTACTCACATGCATCGAATAATTATTCCCCGCTCCGCCGAAAGACGTCAATCCGCCCAGAAGCGTAATCGGCTTCGGCTGCTTCGTTAAAGGGAATCCAAGATGTTGACATGCCAGTTTTGGCACGATGGGAAAACATGAGTAGAAGTCAAAGATGTCAATCTCTTCTTTCGTGACACCCGAGACCCGTAACCCCTCGTCTAGTGACCTAGAAACGGCGGGACTCGAATGGAAATTTGGCCTTTGCCAGACTACAGTCATCAGCGGGAAGTTTTGATTTTGACGGGGTACATACAGTCGGTGTTATCACTTGAGCCTGCTCCTCCTAGTGGGTAGATCCATTTACTCTCTGGAATTCCAAGTTCGCTTGCGTACTCGGTGGAAGTCAAAATACAAGACCCCGCCAAGTTGATATTGTTGAATGCATTCATCAAAAGCGGATCTATACAGTCAGCAGGAGATTTGGGGACACTCTGGTGAGCAAACATACACGGAAAGCAGATCATCCTGTTCTTCTTGGAGACAGTCCCAATATCTTCTGCAGTTGCAGCCGGCTTGCCATAATTCCAAGCGAGAGGGTTTCCCTCCGCAACCTTTGCAAAACCCGCATACAATTCAGCCGACTCTTTATTATTATCCTGAATAGACTGCCCTCTATAAGCCCTAAATCCATTCTCATAAAGTGGATAAACATGGATCGGTAGTCCCACAGAATGAAGCGTTCCAATGCCTTCTCGTTTAGCGAAATCGAGACCAGGGACATCCCAACTCACTTTCTTTCATGCTCGAAACATCAGAAACTGACACAGACTTCACACTCTCATCAACTGCCGTCCAAGGAGGTGACCTTCCAGCCGCGGCATAAGTGCCCACTTCCCGAAATCAGCAGTTCTCACTCCCCCAGAGAATACAAGACTCTTACATGACGCGAGCGCTTCCCCGCCTGTTATGATCGCCACTTTACTCTCCCGAACCGATATCCTCTTCGCCGCCTCATCGAAGAACTTGGCAGGCGAATCTCCTCCATGGTGACTGAGTCCCTTGTATTTTGGTTCGATCCCGAGATTCTCTGATATCAGGCCCGGCAAGTCCGAGTAGTTCCACGACCATGTGTTGACGACGGCAACGCTGTCAATGCTCGCTTGGAACTCTTTGGCTGCAGAGGATGAGAGGCCGGTGTCTGTGATGGCTGCTTGGATGGCTTGGAGCATCAGTTCCATGGGCTCGATGGCATCTTCTACTTTTGGAGAGCGGTTCTTGATGTCGCCGACTCCGACAACGATGGGTACGGCTCCTCTGGATTCCATGCTGGGTTAATATATCTATATTAATGGAACAGAAGGAAAGAATAACAGTATTCTACTACAATATGAATATGTGAGATTTCGTGAGCACATTGCTTTGATGCAGATAGAGCCTCTTGCCCCTCTGCTCATTCTGAGTTTACCGGGCATTGTTGATCTGCCGTGGAGCGATGCCTCGGCATGTGGAATGCGGGGAGAACTCATCCGACGGTTCTTGCAGGTGATAAAATCTAATGCATTTCTTGGTCTTGGGAATTTTCATTGAAAAGTTGAAATTGAAAAGTAAATTCGATAAGATGCCAACGGAGATGTAAGTGATCATCACCCAAATACTGTGATGAGTAACACAATGTTCGGCAATTCAGGGGCGGACATACGTCTTGGGTGAGATATACATCTTGGCAATTATTTTGTTATCAGCGAGAGAAAATTTCAACCTTCGCGAATGAAACAACTCGGAGACAAGTGTTCTTTCGAAATGATTTTTCTTCTTCTATCTGGCTCTGAGCGTTCGTTTCTCCGGAAATTCCCATTCTTTCGAATCTCTAGTTCTATTGTTTGTTTGCTAGCTGCTTATCATATGATCCCATTCAGCACACGTCTCTTTCTATCGTCGCATTTTTCCAGCGTCGCTTTTGTATGACGAGTCCTGTAACCAATCTGGTGTGAAAATCTGTTAGAGACTGTATTTTGGAATAGTCCATTCGTCGTACGTGAATTTTCCTGCTCCAGGCCCCACCTCGCTCCCGAGGTTGTCCACCCTTTCAGCCGCATTTTCTGCCATCGGAAGTTTAAAACCAGCCATGTATACAGAAAGACTTGGCATGAATATTACTGCATCTCAATTGGAGGGCAGGGCACCTTTTTTATGTTCTGCTTGATTATACTTCTGCCAAGGTTCGCCGCGACATGTTCTGTTTCGACGACGCGTATTTAGCGAGACGATCACGGCAATCGGACTTCTTTATCGGGCCGTCAGCAACGTACAAGCTTTGGATCAACTCAGGCAAGAGGATACTGATGGCGTAAAGCATTGACGCATGCTTTTCTCGAGACATCTGAATGATGCAAGATGAACCATTCTTGTGTCAAGCTTTCCAGAGTAGCCTGGTGCTCTGGTGTAGAGGTCGCTTCGTGGGGCCTTTGCCAGGTCCACTTCCTCTTGAAACGACTTTACTTTCATCTTGAATCTGTCTGAACGCTGGTGAGAAGCTCACTCAGGTGAACTACCAGAGAGTTTCCTCTGAGACGGCATCTTCAAGCGTTTGTTCGTCCCCAGACTCGAAGGACGATTATGGTTGCAGAATGTGGTCCCGGTCTCAGAGCAGCCCACACCCGTTGCTCGTGCTTTTCAAATCTACATCATATTCAGCCCTATCCTCGCGAGCCCAACTTTGAAAACTGGGGTGCTGGCTACCTGTGTTTTCTTACTACTCTACTCTCGGCAAACCTTTCACGGCCTCCTGGAGAGAGCCTTTCAGATCATTCTAGGTCGAAATGACGAATACAACAGGAAATGGAGCAGTGGAGGAGAAATTGGGTCGCGTTCAGCTCCGCACCGAATCTGGGGAGATCATCTTGGTTCCTAAGCCGTCAAGCGATCCGAACGACCCTTTGAACTGGTCGCAACCTTTCAAATACTACATTGCAATTGTGACATGTGCTGGCATGCTCATGACGACATTTCTGGCTGCCGGTCCAACAGTTGCCCTGGTGGAAATTGCTACGGATTTTGCTGGTGGTGACCCTTCAAAGCTGGGAGAAGTCATTCCACAAGTTGCGTACTTCTTCACTGTCTCGGCTCTAACTCAAGGAACGGGAAATCTCATTTGGCAGCCCCTCATCAACAAGTATGGTCGGCGACCTATCTACATAATCTCTTTTTCTGGTTACCTCGCGACAGCGGTCTGGTCCGGTTTGACCTTAAATTATGCCAGTGAGCTCGTTGCTAGAACGCTTCTTGGATTTTTCTCGGGAGCTGGAGAATGCCTTGGCCCCGGAACAATCTCTGATTTGTTCTTCCTCCACGAACGGGGCTCTATGATGGCGTAAGTACCAAGCTGTTCAGTCGGACCTGTCGCTGACTCCTTCGCAGTCTTTACAGTTTTGCTGTTGGATCTGGAGTCTCTATTGGTATCATCGCCAGTGGATTCATCGTCTTGAAGAACACCTGGCAGACAATTTACTTTGTTGGAGCGGCAATGATCGGAGGCCTACTTCTCCTCATTATCTTCACCATGCCGGAAACGGCTTATAATAGATCGTACGATGATCAAGAAGATGATGTCGTACTCAAAACGAAGGGTACCGACTGTCGTCTCTCGCTATCTATCATTCTTGATGATGCCGAGAAGGCTAAGGTGGCACGTTACTACGAAGAAAACGACCGACTGGCAAAAATGGCTTTCTCGCAGCAGACTTCAATTATCGAGCGCTTAGAAGAAAGAATACGTAGGCTTGAAGAAGCCGTTCTTGGGAACAAACAATACGCCCCGCTGTCATCTGGTCTTCGATCGGCCAAGAAGTCCTACTGGAGTACATTAGCCCTGTTCACTGGAGAGAAATATACCACCCAATCGCTTTGGACCATGTTTATACGTCCTTTCGGAATGATTCTGCTGCCACCTGTATTGTGGGCAACTCTTGTCATGGCCACTCTTGTTGG